AAAATATCACAAATTTCACTATCTAATAACACCTAAAAACTGTTTCTAGTTACATTTGACATTTTCCTTAGACTGTTTCATTTACAATTTTGCATCTTATTGAAGCAAATAGGTTTGATAATCTATACTTCTTCAGAAAACTTTGAATACTAGTCAGATGTATGTTTGATTAATAAATTATACCAGTAACAAAATACAACATGTCAAAATAGCTTGATGACATTATACTCCAGATCATGGAGGAGGAACTACAGTCTGATGGTGTGGCTAAACATCACGGAACATGCTTTAGATGATGGTTGTGTCTTTGGGTTGTTGGCCTTGATGTTTTTTTCTAAATATAGACCCGTGCCTTTTAAAGATGGGGTATGAGAATAAAATGATTATCTGTAGTTTAGTATGTAAAGAGGATAAATTTTAGCAGTACATTTTTCTGTTGTGTTATTTTAAGAAATTAATTTTCCTATGATGAGAAAATATTTTTTTCATTTTTCTCTTTTATGAGTTTACATGAAGGTAGTTATTATTGAAAAGCTAATTGGCTTTTTAAGAGAATATGATATCAACTTCTTTACTAATAGTTTTAATGATATGTCCTACATTTTGGAGAGCAATTCTAAAGGAAAATAACAGTTTAATCTTTGTGGCTTAGCGCTGACTCATTGGAGTGTTGATACCAATAACAGTATATCAATGCAGTAAGACTTCTTCATGAGAATAGCAATATGTCAGTACCTTTTGAAAACTAATACAATAAGAGAATTTTAATGGCACATTTGTGTTTCATTAATGAAACAAAAGACAAGACACATATGGCACATGAAAAGTGCTCCTTTGAATTCTAGAATGCACTTAGTATTGAACAAGAAAGAGGTAATAGGGCCAGGATGCGTTTTCTTTTCACCCATAGGTCGTGTCTTTTCTTTTAGTATTTATAAAAACCCAATTCAGATATTACACACAATAGACTGATTATCCTTTAAAAATACAAAATCGAGATGTTTTGAAAACTAAACAAATATGGCCTACCAAAATTACCGGTTTTCTTAGGTAAATGTTATTTTGTAGATCTCAGTGGTTTTCAGATAAAACATTTTCTTTAGAAGTAGATTTAACCATTTGTAAGCTGAACTTACTTTTTTTTTTGGTATGATTAATTGTTCTTTTAGCATTTATCTCACTAATTGGCTCTGATCACCCCTTAGCCAGTGGTTCTGGTTTTTATCTCAATAGCACAGAGGGGCCAGAGTTTAAAATACTGTGGTTTTGGGCAAATACATGGTCAGGCATAACTATATAATGCCATCCTTCACATTTAAAGTCAAGGGTAGTTCTTTTAATATTGGCACATTGAATAAGGCAGAAACCGTGCAAATTTTGAAGTTGGGTAATGGGAAAGAAATGAGACTCAGAAAGCTTTGCAAAAGCCAGCACGCAGCCAAAAACAACAGCAGGTATGGCCATATGGCAATCAAATTAGAGGAGGCTTTCTTACCCCACAGATTCCGGAGGACAGTAAAGCACAGACAGCATGCACGGAGGGATGATTTACTCGGGGCATGTGGAGTTTCACACTGCCTCTTCCACTGTTCACTTATGAAGGGAATTTAAATAATTTTAAACAAATAGATACTGAAAATTTTTCTTAAAGGCTAAAAATAACATCTCACTTTCCTTCTACACTTAAAGGAGATTGTTAGCCAAATACATATTTCAAAATAAAGCAATCCTAAAGGAATCGAGCCTGGTAAAGATAAAGTTAATGTCATTATATTATTCACATAAAATATAGGAAGATATTAAAGTTTTAAACCAACTTTAATCCAACAGAAATCACTCATCATATGATTAAAGTCATGTCTATTTTTCCTGTAAATACTATTTTCTAGAAGATCTTGAAGCAATTTTTCATATAATAAAAATTATTTGCTGAAAATGTACTTTAGTTCTTAGATGACCTCTCAAATTTTGTGAGCTATCAAAGGACTATCCTATTATCCGTCATTCTTAAATGTATTATTAATGTCGTAATGTGTTGCTATAACTTGAACAGTGGAGAGAGAAAGAGAAACGGAGAGAGACAGAGACATGTAAAAGAGAGGTGGAGGGGGGAGATACATCTGATTTAATCTGGAAAAATGCACTTGCTTTGTCTTTTATTGTTTTTAGCCTAAAGGAAAATCTAGTCTTTGTAAAGAACCTAGAGATACTTGTGGAAATTCCTCTACTCCATTCAAGTCGCTCACACATCCATTCCTTTAAGGGGTGACAAGCTAGCCCACAGTAAGAGTGAGAACAGTGGTCCTATGTGAAACTGGATCTCCCTGATTCAAGTCTGTTCATGGCAACACTACACCCCTCTTTTCTACAACAAAATGTAGCTGGCTTTCTTTTGGGCCACAAACCAGCTCTCAAGTCATGAAATGGAGACTTACTAGTTATGAATCCTCAGCCTTATCTTATGCTTGTTTCTTGCTAGCTCTTATAACTTAATTAACCTGTTGGTGTTCATCTACGTTTTGCCTCAGGGCTTTTTACTCTTTCTTTTCTTTTCTTTTTTCTCTCTCTTTCTCTCTCTTTCTTTCTTTCTTTCTTTCTTTCTTTCTTTCTTTCTTTCTTTCTTTCTTTCTTTCTTTCTTTTGTTTTGTTATTTTTGTATATCTTACTTTTCTGCTGTCTCCATGTCTATCTGTCTGGTGACTGCCTGGCTTCTGCCTTTGGGCATGTCTCTCTTTTTCTCCCTCATTCTCTTCTCTCCTTCTAATCTCTCTCAAGTCTAGGTTTCTCTTCCTATCTATTTCCTCTTTTCCCACCATCCACCCCTGTCCCTCAACTGCCTCGCTATTGGCCATGAGCTTTTTATCAGACCAATCAGGTTCCATAGGCAGGCAAAGCAACACATCTTTAACATAATTAAACAAATGCAGCATAAACAAATGTAACACACCTTTACCCAGTTAAAATAATATTTCATAACAACAAAATATTTAAATACAAGAACAAAAGAATAACTGTTCAAACAAATAAATGACTAGTAATTTAAGGTCTAATCGCTTCTATAATAGTATTTTCCAAGAGGAATTCTTATGTGTATTTGAACAATAATGAACAGTCTTGTCTAGGTAGAAATGATGGACTAGTGATCATTCTCTTACTGGAGTGCCTACCTCACTGCTCTTCAAGTTAGTTTACATGGATTTAAGGTAAAGGAAGATAGCCATATGCCTAGAGATTGACGTGTGGTAGTGATTTGTTTTTTGCTTAGAAACATGGCTACCAACCATCTTAGAAAAATGTAAAAATTGCAAAAAGTAGAAAACAGTAAACAAGTCATAGTCATTGTCTCTATCATTCAAGTTAATAACTGTTAGTATTTTGACATATTTTCAGTAATTTTGTTGTTTTGAGACAGGATCTCTGTGTAACATCTCTAACTGTTCTGGAACTCACTCTGTAGACCAGGCTGGCCTTGAACTCACAGAGATCCACCTGCCTCTTCCTCCTGAGTGCTGGGATTAAAGGTGTACAGCACCACCACCCAGCTACTTCAGTAACTTTAAATAAAACATATAGCTAAAACCTTTAGATTATCCAATTGTTCTCTCCACTCTCCTGTATGGGACAACCCTTAACAAAAGTTGACGGGTTTTTCCTTTCCACTTAAACAAATGTATATTTGCATCTATGAAAATAATGAAGTATTTACCTAGTGTATATATGTGTGTATATGCATATAACATACATTGTTTCATTTATTAAGTATATATATATATATACATTTAATAGATTATATTACTACTTTACATAGCTTTTTCATTGAACAGCCACTACTTCTTCCTTCTTCTTCCTCCTCCTCCTCCTTCCCTTCCATCTTTCTTTATGGTGCTGGAATCTGAGCTCAGTCTTAGGGGTCATTGAACTCTATCAGCAGCCCTCAATATATTTTTAAATGATTCCCTTTGGCAAACATTTATCTACTCTATTTTCAACTTTCATATTATTTTATCAGATGAAAGACAATATTTTATTCATCATTTCATTGAGAATATGTGTAAAATCCTTTCATGATAACTTTCTGGTGTTCCGTCACTCTAACTTAACATTGGTATAATCAGTAGCATATTCAATCCTTTGAGTACAAGTTAAAAGCACATAACAAAATGCTATTGGGTATTTACCAATGGAAATGCACTTTTTAATTATGCCTCAAATATTACAAAATGGCAAATTATTCAAGATATTATTCTTAACATCAAATAATTTGTTCAATATTTGCATTAATCTTTCTCATAACTAGTCACTTTCACTTTGTCTTCCTGTCACTGGGAAGAATGGAAATGTAATTTCCCAGAGGCTTTACGAAGTGGGAGAGTACTAACTGCGGCTGAAATTAAGTGATTAATAATTTACTTTGTAGGTCATGAATCAACTTCCTCAGATGCTAAGGACCACTTGCAACCCCAGAAGCATGAGCAGTAACAATGCTCTTTTTAAGGCTTCAGAACTCTCAAAGGTTGACTGCCCAACCTAATTAAACTTCAATCTTCTGATACCAAATTTATTTCTTCCTTGTACTGAATTTCCTCAGATCTTCTTGACAGGAAAATGTCACTTCGCCTGACAGCTGATAGACAGGTTATGTAGCACTGTAATTGGAGAGAAAAGGATAGCTTAAAGCTCCTGGGTTTAATGGCTATGTGTATGGGTTTTTCTTTTTTTCCCTCTAAGGTTTCAATGACAGACACAAAAGGCCTTAGCAAATAGGCCTGATGCCATTTTTTTTTTGCCTGCTTCCTCCAGGGGTAATTATCTTACTCCATCAATAGTGCTGTCAGGAATTGGGCACGTAATTCAGCATTTAAATGAACAAGCAATGTAATATTTCCTGTCTCCCAGTGGAATGCTGGGTCACTTGCATTCTTCTCTGTCGCCGGCACACTCTTGATGTATGTCCTGTACCCAGTCCTTGAATGGCTTCTCTCCCTGGTGTTTCCCTGCAGATGTTGGCTTCGACTTGACACCTACTTCATTTGGAGTTTTATAGGACCCGCGACCTTGATAATTATGGTGAGTACTCCTCATTAACTATGCACTTCCCAGGTCAAGAAATAAAACTTCCACTATTCATGTACTAACTATCTTAGATTTACATAGGTTAATTTGGGGAAAGCATGTACTTATATGACCCTACATAACTCAAGCAATTAGACACTCATTACAGTCTACTTTTAGATGGTAAAATAGTTCATCAAAACTGATGGAAAAGGAAAGTAAGCATTTGCAGGAGTAAATGGCTACTCAAGAATTCAGTCCAACATTGTCCATACAGAAGTCTTCACAACTGAACAATGATTACTTTGACAACAGCCTATTTCCCTTTTCTTTGGCATATCTGGAACTGAAAATAGATAGGAATTAGAAAAGTAGGTGAACACCTGGCCGTTCCTTTTATTTATTTATTTACTTACTTACTTATTTATTTATTTATTTTGTAAGCCCTCAAGACTTTAAAATTAAAAAAAAAAGAATTTACTTGAAAGTGGCACAACTAAATTAGGCCTGTCTTCTGGAATTATGCCTCCTTTTACATTGTTATCTGAGTAATATCTTTATTTCTCACATCATTTGCCCTAATTTAAATGAATCTTTCAGCATAGTATCCTTGTTACCATTACGAACCTGGGCCCCACAAGATGGCTCAGCAGGTAGAAGAGCTTGCAACTGAGCCTGTGGAACTGAGTTTGATCCCTGGGACCGACAGGGTCGATAGAAATAAAGCTCTCTGCAAGTTACCCACTGACCTCTGTATGCACAGCATCACATGCACCTCCCATATGCACCCAGACATAGAAAAAGAAATGTAATAATAATCTACAAAGCTACTGCCCATTTTTGGAAAGAAGTAGTAACCCCTTGGCTTTGAATAAAATACAGGGCTAAAGTTTTATTTTCCTGAGCTAGACATATTTTGAAATAAAAAAAAATACTTCAGACTTGAAAACAACAATATGGCATGATTACTATATAATATGTGTATATGCACATATGTAAATATGCCATGTGTATGTGTACACACATGTACTAACATGCACACACAGAGATATAACAGAAAACCCTGTTGTCTAAAATCAATCACGGTGACTATTACTCAAATATTTGAGAGAGGAGTCAGTCTGTAACCAAATAGCATTTCAGGATGTAAAAGAAAGTCAAATGATGACACTGGAAAGCCTTATGTCAATGTAGAAGAGGCTTTCCTATTAATTGCATTCAGTTCAGGTTAAGCTTTTAGCCACTCAGTGATGTTTGTTTATTTGTTTTGTTTACAGTTTTCTCCTTTCATTTGATTTTACTTTTGAGACTCAGAGATCATTGATAAAGAACCATGAAGCTCTATTATAGTGAGATTGTCAGTGGAGCATTTAATTGAACTTTTGTGCTCTGCATCTGTCCCCAGTTGTATAGTGTAGGAACTAATCACCTGGTTCAAGTGTAATTCACCATATGGCTTTCTTTATAGCAGTGGTTCTCAATCTGTGGGTCACAATCCCTTTGGCAAACCTGTGTCTCCAAAAATATTTACATTACAATTCATAAAAGTAGTACAATTACAGTTTTGAAGTAGCACTGAAAATGATTTTATGGTTGTGGTTCACAACAACATGGGAAATTGTATTAAAAGATTGTAGCATGAGGAAGGTCGAGAACCACTGATTTACAATGTTCATATAAGGCATATAGGTAATTTTTATCTTTTAAGTTACAGACATTTTTCCAGCTTTCGTGGCATAAGAATACCGCAAGAGAGTCTGCTTACAGTCTAGTCAATTGTAGCATCAGAGTTTAACCAGCATTTTCTAATCCATTTTACTTATGCATTCAAAATGTATTGAGGTTGGTATTTGTGTTTGTTACCAGGTGCAGCAGTGCAGATCTGTAATAGTAGAATTGGCAGTCAGAGGTAGAGGATGACCAGAAGGGCAAGGTCAGCCACATCTACGTAGTGAGGTGTAGGTCAGCTGGGACTACATACTGAGGCTGTTTCAAAAAATAAATAAATATAATAAAAAAGTATTTTGACATTAATAATTTAGCATCTGTAAAAGCGCATCTCTTAAGCTGGCAGGCTGACCAACCCTGCAACTACCCAGGCCCAGAGCCAGGTTTAAGTTTTGGCCCACCCCAACACCAACACCATCTGTGATCTGCTGGAGCACAGGTGTAGGGGTGTGGTGGAGGTCCTCTGGATCCAGGGCTACAGGATCTCTAGGACACAGGGCAGCAACAGGACATCCAGGAAAAGCCCGAGTGAAAGCCCAGTGTCTGTAGTGCATCAGAGAGGAGGGACCTGAAACCTGACCAATGATTCTTTGCAGTGAAAGCCTGCATGTAAAGATGTATGGATAAAGGGGTTTACTGCATGACTCACTGTGTCACACTGCAGCTTCCATGAAGAGATTTTTTTCCTTTCTTCCTTTTTTGTCTTTCCTTTTTTATCTTAAGTTTTATTTTGCTTTATTTTTTTTTGGGGGGGGGAGGTTTCAGAGGCGGGGGCAAATTTGATGGGACAGGAGATAGGTGGGATCAGGATGCATAATATGAAAGACAAATAAATTAATTTAATAATTTTTTAAAAATGTATCTCTAATAACTAATGGGACAGGAGATAGGTGGGATCAGGATGCATAATATGAAAGACAAATAATAAATTATTTTAATAATTTTTAAAAAAATGTATCTCTAATAACTAAAATGAAAACTGTCTATAATTAATCATTCTAGAGACATGTTTATAGAATGTCAATATATTAGTTCTCTTAGACTAATTCCTGGATTTGGGGTTTGGTTTTCTTAAGCATGCACTGGGCTTTGAGTTATTCCAGAATTTGAACAGCATCCTTCCAAATTACCACTGATTTTGCATTTTGTATGTATTTGGTACAGCCACATTTTGTAATTCAATGGAATCACAATTCACAAAGCTGGCTTCTTGCTTTTGCTAAAGCGTTAGACAGTCACCTGTGATTCAGTTCCTTTAAGAGTCTACTGAAAACTAATTTCCCAGAACAATTCATGTGTTACAGGGAATGGACTTTTATTTTTTTTAATACTATGGTTATCTACATGCATTACCTTTTGCATTTCAGCTGAATGTAATCTTCCTTGGGATTGCTTTATACAAAATGTTTCATCATACTGCCATACTGAAACCTGAATCAGGCTGTCTTGATAATATCAAGTAAGTGATTCTTAGTTTTATTTTTATATACTATACTTTAAAATTGTTTCTAGTTTATACCGTTAAAAAATGATACAAGAAAATAGTATCAATGTATTGATTTTGTTGAGTAAGGTTATTTACTGGTAGTAAGTAACTTGATCAGCTTACAATCAAGGCAGTGAGACCGTTTCTCTAAACTTACCTTTCCTTGTAAGCTGTAATTTATAAATATGTTTTTAACAGAAACAGTAACTGTATGAAATCTCTCACACTGTACTCAATCCCTCAGAGCAATGGTGCTTGCAAAGGCCCCAGTAGTGATGGTACCTGCAGTGATAGTTTCTGCAGTGATTAGACCTACAGCAATGGTACCTGCAGCAATGGCTTCTGCCATGATGTACATGGCAGAACCAGTAGTGATGCAGGTACCAGTAGTGATGATATCTGCAGTGATGGATCCTGCAGGGATGGTGCATGCAGTGATAATTTCTGCAGTGATTATACCTACAGCAGTGGTGTCTGCAGTGATTATACGTGAAGCAGTGGTGTCTGCAGTGATTATACCTGCAATTGCATTTGTTAATGGATGAGAACTGGGTAGTACTAATTTCGTGTTAACCTACAATGAAAATACATATAAAAGCTAAATTACATTTTCTGAAGTCTCTGATATCCTTGTTACAGGCAAAATTGTATTTTAATTTACTTAGTGGTCTTGAAATTTGAAAACTATATTAATATCGAGAAGTTCATTAGTCTCATACACACACGCATACATACACACATGCATACATACACACACCCATGCTAAAAAGCATTTTCATGTGATTTCTGATGTTGTGTGTTGACTTGGATGAATAATTCTATGAAGATGAATGTACATTCAGGACATTCAAGGGGCACCTTGAGCTTTCCCTGTCCTCCTTGAACTCCGTCAGACAAGTCATGTCACTCACCTCCCAGCTTTCTATATTGGTGCCTGACAAGTGTTTCAGAATACCGCAGTATACTAAGATGTTAATGACAAGGATTATTGACATTAAGCACTTAACTTTGGTGAATGACTAACTCTCCTAAGTTAATTTAAGAGAATAGCTAAGGAGTTAGGAAAGTAAAAACATTTTAGGAGTAACTAGAAATACTGTCTCACATTTTTAATTTTACTTCCTTGTTACAATAATGATTATGTTACTGAATTATGTACGATTACATTGTCATTCTAAAATGTACTGTGCATTCCATACTGTTCCTGATGAAAGTGAGTTTTGATATGTTAAGTAGCCACATTTTTCTTACAGCATACTTTACTCAAGTCATTATAAGTTATGTTTCCATACCTTTTGTTCTATGTTGTAAATTTATCTAGGTAATTTTAAAGTACCATTTGGCAGATTAAAAACAAAAACAAAAACAAACAAACAAACAAAAAACCTTTGTCTTTATTTCAACATCTACCAGGGTAAAACTTTGAAAAATTTGCAGTCAATGTCATATCTCCAAGTAATTTTAAAGTAGTTTTATAAACTCTTTGGGCAATCTGGCATTTCTTTAAATCTATTTCTTGTTCTTACTACTGGCTGTCACATATTGTAAAATATATTTTTCGATAACAAGTACTGTTTAGAACACCCCAAAACTAATGAGTATATTTAATGACATTGATCACATTAAGTTTTATAATACAAAGCAAAATGAAGTCATTAGTAAGAATACTTTGATTTGCATTCCGTCAAAACTGCTTAGAGCATTTGGAGAGTACTTAACTTTGCTGAGTCATGATTCCCTCCTTACAACTGTAAAATGAATACAGCATAACCGACCCTCGTGTGTCTAGGAATGTGAAGCCTTTGATGATGCTTTCAAAAAATTCCGTAAGAGTAGACCAGTTGTTAAAATTATATGTCACGTGACTTTAAAACAAAGCTGTGACTGTGACTATGCTGACAGGAAAGAAGCCTCAATAGTTTAAGAATGTAAGAAAGGAAATAAGGGGAGTCATATGACCTGAGGAATTGCTGGAACCATATCCAGAGCAATGATGGAACAGTTCACTGCCTTACAGTTCTTCTGCTGCATCAGAAGAATCCAGGAAGGCTAAGCTTTGCACAGTGTGACAAAATGGAGGAAATTATATTGGTGTAATGTCCTATGCTGATGGAAACAAAGTAGACTACTAAACTGAGGGATTTCTACTCACACTCCTCTACACAGAAAGATGATCTTTTGAAGATCAAGAGAATATGTGGGAGAAAGATAAATCCATCTCCAGAAAAGAAACTCTTAATTACTTTATAAAATCTGGGAGAAATTTCATTTTACTTGAATTGTGTTGTAGTAGGTAAGAAGTAGTTGTAAAGAATTGACAGGGTTGGAAATAGAAGTGTGGAGAACATTCTCTTTCAAACACTGAACACAAGACATTTTGTGTGGCTGCTGCAAAACAAAAGTATTATTGAAAACTGGAAGATTTGTTTTATGACAAAATAAACAGTCCATCAAGAAAAAAATCTTGTCTACAGCCATACTACCCTGAACGCGCCCGATCTCGTCTGATCTTGGAAGCTAAGCAGGGTTGGGCCTGGTTAGTACTTGGATGGGAGACCGCCTGGGAATACCGGGTGCTGTAGGCTTAAAATTTAAAAAAAAAAAAAAAAAAAAAAAAAAAAAAAAAAACTCAAACACACATGTGCTTAATCATATTATAGTTTCAAAATACATTAAAGTTTTTAATAATAAAACATTTATTACTCATTTTCAATTGTTCCTTATGTTGTTTTAGTTGTTTCATCATTTATCATAAAAACCACACCATACAGATGATTTTATCTCTATTCCTCTATGAATAAATGAAATCCCAGAAGCAATTTCCAGACTATTATAGCCAAGAGATTTTAACTATGATGGCTTTGTTTCTAAACTCTTTGTAATGTACTTGTTCCTTCTTACTAAGGTTTGTTTCTTGTATGTTAAATCTTTTTTCTTACTTAGTTTAGTAAATCTAAATCTTTCAAGTAGAAATATTTATTCCAATTTTTTATTTTTATTTTTTAAATTTTTTATTAAGAGATTTTCTATTCATTTTACATCCCAACCACAGATTCCCCTGTCCTCTCTCCTCTCACCTCCCAGCCTTCCCCCCAACTCACCCCTCATTCCCACCTCCTCCAAGGCAAGGTCTCCCATGGGGAGTCAGCTGAGCCTGGTACATTCAGTTGAGGCAGGTCCAAGCACCTCCCTTTTGCACCAAGGCTGTGCAGAGTGTCTCATCATAGGCACTAGGCTCCAAAAAGCCAGCTCATGTACTAGGGACAAGTCTCAATCCCACTGCCTGGGGGCCCCCATACAGTTCAAGCTCAGCAACTGTCTCACTTAACCAGAGGGCCTAGTCCAGTCCCATAATTATTGATGTGGTGGTTTCATTCTGTTAGTTTCTTATCATTGTAGTTTGTGTATTGCCCCCCCCGTTCCTCCTTTATTCCTTCTTTCGATAAATACTATTTTGTGTCCCATTTTATTTTTCACTTTGGCTTTTTAGCTAATCACTTGTTTTTAATCACTCGTTCAAAAAAATTAAAGCAGAAATCACTAAATTAATACTGTGTATTTGTAATACAAATGATGTTTGACCTATGTTCACTTCACACACTTGCACACACACACAGTCATGTTTTGGGCTGGATATGTGTTTTCTCCTCATTCTATTTCACTGGCACCGTTTCCTATAGTCACTCTCGTCATTTGAAGACTCTCAGTGATGGTTCTATTAACTTGTTTCTTCTGTGACTTTATTTTTGCCTCCTGTGCCACCAGCTGGAGAGAGAGAGAGAGAGAGAGAGAGAGAGAGAGAGAGAGAGAGAGAGAGAGAGATTGAGAGAGAGAGAGAGAGAGAGAGGCTATTGTTGAATTTTCGCCAGCCACAATTAACTTACAGTATGGCTGATGAACACAAAATTTTAATTTGTGAAGAGTGTGGAATACCCAACATTTACCTTCAAAATAAAAACTGACAGCTTCTCTAATCACCCATGTTCTATTATAAAAAAAATGTAAAATGGTTTCTTAGCAAGTAACATTGCAAATCATTTTGAAAAATCAAAATAAATAATGAAAGTTTTGGGTCCATTTGGAGAAAATGAAGAAATTAGCCTTTCTGTGTATTTACTGTGCCTATGGCTTTCCTTTCTGTTCACAGGCTTCTGCCTTTGCCCATTCATGATTTCCTTAAGTCATCCAACTGAGTGCTGAGGGCATCTTTCCTTTTTTCATTTCTGGTTGTCAGTGTGGGTGTTGTTTACTGTAGTAACTATTTAACTGTCAATCCCATTTGGATGCGAGTATGTGTTCAGTTCTGGGAGGGTTGGCTATATGTCTTTAACAAGTAATACCAAGAATTTGCAATCAATATTTCTCTGATTAGAAAGTAAGTATATCTATTGGATAGTTTTGCATAATTAACGATAATCATATGTGCAAAAAAAAAAACACCCACAATATATTTGCTGCACATTGCAGAATATTATCATTTAAAATAATTGGAGTTGAGGTCTCACCTAGGTTAGATGAAGACAGCTGGACTCCAGGGATTCTTGTGACTTGGTCTCCTGAGATGCTCCACCTCTAGACTCGCACTACCGTGACTGTCATACTTCGATTATTTAGTTTAATCCACTCTGTGTGGAAATAATTCTGCTGCCTCTGAGTCTTTGTATTTTCAACAGTGAAGCTGTGCTCAGTTTCTTTTAAAATCTCATTAGAATTTGTATGACTTTATTTACCATATGGTGTCATTAAAATTATGCATCATATGATCCTCTTTTTAAAAGACAAACTTAGCCTTTTAGGGAAAAAAAAAAGGGGGGGGCTCCGGGAGTGAAATGCTCATTTGGTTAATAAATAGCAAGTTCTGTAATTCTAGAGGGAAAAGAATATATCCTCAGCAGGCTAAAACACCTGCTATATATAAAGGACCCCAAGAAAACTTCTGAAAGCTTCAGGGGCAAAGAGAAAAAGGCTAACAA